TATGCTGGTAAGTTTTTGAGTTACTAGGGCTGTTAGAGCAAGGCGGGGTGAAACCGCCAGCCTTTGAGATCGGATTAGGGAGGAAGAGTGGAGGGAGGACAGCGAGTGCTCCCACAGAGCAGGCTGAAGCAGCAGTTGCTGTTGGGGAGGGCTGGCAGACTAAGGGGCTGGCAGAGGAGCATGTGTTTTCACCACAGTGGCATTGCAATGAGCGCTACAGTACAGGTGGTGAGAAGGAAACTACTGAGATGTCTCTTCAGCCCGCGTGTGCGCACAGGCACATGCAGCCCTCCGTATGCTGAAGGTTTTAATCCACCAGTGTGTCTGGCTCATTTTGAAGGGTTCCATACAAAAGGGGAGAATTATTGCCATTTTGGAGATAGGTGAGAAAATCTGTGTTTCTCATTGCCCAGGTACTCATTGCCTGTACTGCTGTTGGCCATTCATGGCTCCTTATGGTCTTCTCCATTCGCTCCATACTATCCCTTGATGCCCGCCACTGCAAAAGAGTGCTTGCAGGAGAATCTGGCAAGAACCAGCCCAAAAGGCTGCATGTTCACACAATGTTGGGCAATGTGGCGTGCAACATACTTTCAGATTTGCATTTTCTTCATACCGAACACACTCAAACTTGTGCACTGTCACACCCTATGGCGTATGTTATTACTCAAGCTCTTGTGTATCTCCAGTTGTCTAAGCTGACGAAATTTCAGGCCTGAATGATAACGCTTTTTAAATAATTCAGAGAACCGCATTAAATTAATATTGCCTTTTTTCCTGCAAACAGATCTACTGTGGAGTTCTGGAGCTTATTCAAAAAGTCTTGCCAGTTTCTCTGTCATTTACTGTTTTTCTGGTCAGTTGTGATACATATTTGGTATCTGTATCATCAGAGACAGCACTAGCTAGTTCATTGTCTTGACTAAAATATATCCTGCTGCCTCCTCTCCAACATTTGAAAGAAATCACATTAATACCAGGTGTTTTTATAAAATTTTAGAATGCTATATATTCAGCTATTATGAAATATAGACTTACAAAATTGCAGAAAAAATATGAGACAAAGTATTTATACATTATAAAAATTAATGTCTTATTAGCAATTTAATCAGTGCAGTCACAAATTGGCTCTAAAAATGTTGCCTTTCCAATTCTGCAGCTCTGGGAAACTGTCCAGTCTGTACATAAGGTAAGTTGCCCTCTATGTTGTACTGTAAGGCATTGAACATTGTTTCAAGTTTTAATTAGACGGTTTATGCAATCACTTAGTTGAGTAAATTGTGAATTAAAATGGCATGTATGAAATTCATCACTGTTTTTTTTGTCTAATTAGAGAGACAGGGAGATTTTGTCTAATTAGAGAGACAGTCTCTAGTTAGAGATTTTCTTTTGCTATATAAGACTTGATTTATTTTCAAAAAGGGTAGCATTTATTGCCCGTGGTATATATATAAAGCATGAGAGAGTTTATCTGCACCTCCCATAAATTTTCTTCTACGCAGGCATGATAGCCCCAAAAATGTTTGTAATGCAACATTGCTGAGTTGCACCTTTTACAAACACAGCAAAATAAAATCCTGCACAAAATATGGGTATTGCAGCACATGCTTTTCAGAGACTCATTACTCAGCCAAGCTGAACTTATTTTTCTCTGCAGTACATAAAGGATTGCAAAATTTCAGATTTCAACACTATACTGTTAAGCTGTGGACCTGTTTCAAAGAAGATGGAAAGAACATTTTTAGAATCCAGAAAATACATTTTTCACTTATTTATTTCATAAGAGTTAAATAAGCAAACAAGGAAACTCTCCTCCTACCTACCCCAAAACACATAAAATTTAAACATATTGGAGTGGAAGAAGGAACTGGGTCATTATTTCCAGTTCCCTGCAACACTAAGAAACTATTATGAGCATATAGGGCTGGTTTGATCCAAATGCAGAGTTCAGTAGCATAGGTATCCATAATTCTGCTAGTTATCTAGACTCACCTTATATAATAGAGAGAGAGAGGCATTTGTAGGCCATGTATCATTTTATTTTAGCTTAGATGTCTGAAACAGCTGAACCAACAAAATACCCAAAGAAACACAGCAACAGAAAACAGTTTGTGATCAAACCTCCATTATTAGAACAAACCACTATGTAATTTGAAGTACTATTGCCACTGCTGATATAAAGCATTGCTTCAATAAAGCCAACATCCTTGGACTGTGACTGAAGGAAAGCCTGTGTTGCAATATTAACCATATCACTTGTGTGTGTAAAAGAGATTATTTTTTTAAGTCTGTTAATAAACAGACATTGTACCGGAACATATGGTAGTGAAGAGCAAACCTGAGCTGAAGTTCAGATCAGCACCCAGGCTAAATGGTTATTGTGAACTTACTTCAATTTTAACAGTTTAAGCTAATGAGTGGTCAGAAAGGTGCAGTAAAGCAACTATATCTAGGCACCTATCTCAGAGGAGCTATGTAACAGCTGGATATGTATTATATTCTAAAACCCACTGCCATTATTATTCACAAAATACACTGCTAGATTAGTCTTATGTGGTCAGTTGAGTAATAGCCCTCCTGGTGTCTCTACATTTTTATAGACAACAGTCCAAGGCAGAATTAACTTTCATTTTTTGTCAAGTTCAAGCTGACAGTGAACTGCAGGCCAACTGCTTGCCACTGGTGTGCCCTGTGCCAATTAGCTCTGTCACTCAGAAGAACACTTTAACATTAGCTCTGACCTTCTACCTTGTGCTCAGTTGCCTGAATTGAGAAGATTGGCCTTGGTGTAGGCACAGATTTAAGCCCTTCTGTTTGCTCTCTGAAGCTGATGGACAAAAGGCAGCTACTCTCTGCCACTGAGATGCCAAGCGGATGCTGTGCTGTGCTCAGTCGTGTTGACCATGCTGCCAGTGTCCCTAGAGGAGAGCTGTGGCCTCACCTTGTAGGAACACCACGGTGGTACCTGATGCTAATCCCTCTTTCTGTGACTACTTTTCACAGATGCAGAAACCTTGAGGCCAGAGGAGATTTTCTCTTCCCCTGCCTGGGCTGGGCTGGGGATCCTGTGGAAGGAAGGACCTGCCACGGCCCTGGCACAGCGGGGGGCAGGGAGCGGCTCTGCTGACACAAGTGAGAAGCTGTACCTGGGACTAAACACAAGTTGTCAAAATCTAACAGAGGGTGACCAGACTGAACAATGCCTCACTTCCTATTTCTCTCCAATAATAGGAAATGTGGCATTGTTGTCACTGCAGGGTCTCCATCAGAGTTCAGCAACCCATGTTTACTTCCTTTTTGTCCTCTTCTCATGTGCTTGTGTCAGCAAACATGTTCCTTTCCTGCTGTTGTCCTCAGTGCTGAGACGAGCAACCCGTGCAAAGAGTCCTCCCTGCAGTTTGGCATTAGAGACTTACCTATCACTGCCACGTATTATCTTCAACATATTTCATCCTTCCCGAAGGAACCATTTCAGATTCAAATTAAAGTTTTAGACAGTGCAGAGATCAATTAAATGATAATATTTTCTTATGATTAGACTGGTCTTTTCCTTTAAGCAATTCTTATATTGGGTGTGCTTCCAGTAGTGCTAGAACTGCTCTCACTTTTCATGTGAGATTGCCACAGGTCTTAGAAATGCAGATTGCCATTAGCATCATTATCTTCAGATAAATTAAGAAATTCTTTGAGAGAATTGCTTCTTTCCCTGTGAATATTCAAAGTGGTGAGCAGTGAAAGTAACAGCAGTTTTCTCATAAAATTTGTCCCAGAGACTGCCTAAAAATCCCCAACAAAGCACTTGTAAGAGCTTTGAGGCTTTAATATCAGTTGCACAGTGAATATCTAGGACAAGAAAAAGTTTCAGTTTTTTTAGTCTGAGTCATCAGAATGTTTTTCCATTTCATTTGACCATGCAGTTTCATCCTTCCAGCATTTATTGGGTCAAGGCAAGACTGGTGAAAAATAGCAGTTCTAACAAAACATACAGCTTTTTGTTTGCTTCTCCAACAAAATAGTTAACGTCATTTTTGCAATTAAAAAGGAAGGGCTTTTGATGTGAACTTGTAAAAGCATTTTGCTCAGAATTCTTGAGTGAAGTTATGATCTGGTCTAAGGTACAACTTGCTTTTTATGTATGCATTTATTTTATCATCAGTATTGTGTGTGGATGATTTGAATTTTTTTTTTTCCTATGCAAAAATTATGAATTTTTTGTAATTTAAGAAATAACAGAAAATAGTCTTTGGAGCTCTGAAGCAAATTCTGCATTATCTCCAGCAAAATACAGCTTTTTAAATAATGTAGTGGCTAGCATTGCTTGTTTATACAAAGAAGTTTCTAATTGCTCTATAAAGTCTAATGCAGTATTTTACTATGCCTGTAAATGGAGCAGTCTAAAAAAAAGTCTAAGTTAATTGGATATTTACTGTTAATTGCTGGACAATTTTGTTCAAATGAGAAAAAAATTAGACTTTTGCAACATTGGCTGCATTGAGTGCCTGCTATTTTGCCTTTAAGCTTCTGTTGATGATCTTTAGAGCATTTTTATTACAGTTTTAATTTGTTGAACAAAACCATTTTAATGCTGATCTTAACTTACTATATATTTTAAAATTCAGGTTCACACCCAGCATCTCAATACATGCTGAACTCCTGTAGCAGGTGTCCCCAGATATTAGCAGTCATTTTAAAGACTACAGCATCTAAATATACTTTTGAACATACACAGAGGATGATAAGGAAGAATTTTGCATGTCACACAAAGAAACTGTGGAAGGAACCATAAACAGACCGCGTAAAGTTCATAGACCTAGGGTGCCCTTCTCTGGGATTGTGTTCTGAATGCTGAGTTTCACCATAACCTCAGTAATTTGAGATGCCTGTTGGTTTGGCAATTGGTCACACAAAATAAACCATCCAAACATCATGTGTGATAATCAGCCAATCAGGTCTCCAAAGAGTCTTTAAATGTTCAAACAGAACAAAGGCTCTGTGTCTATCAAGTTCAGAATATTGTCTTCGACAGCAGCTCTCTACCAGGTAATGTGCTGGTTTTCTATTCCGTTTAGCTTTACTTAGTGGCAATAGGTAGTTTCAGATTACTGTGGTAATCCATGCAAAACTAATTGACTAATTAAATGCAAGACAAGTCAATTCACCAGTGCACGTTGCACAATATTTCCTATTGGCTTTTTAATGATTATCTAGCATATATTGACAAAAAAGTTGAGGCACTTTAAAGAAGAAATATTCTTACAATCTGTCTACTCCTAAAAAGTTATAACAAAGATTAATGACTGAATGGTGACACTCCCCAGACTTGTTGGGCTTTGTAGATTTGATAGATGTTTTTGTTTATATGTTTTGCCAGGATTTCTGAGAAAATAAAGAGTTCAAAGACGAGTCTTCTAATGAGAAACTTTGAAGAAAGGGAAGCACCAGTGTAGCTCAGGTCAGACTTCAGAACTGATGGACATGAAATGTAAAACAGAGTTAGAGTGAAGGGCGTGCTGGGAGTGATTCTGTGGCTCTGTGACTTGGACTGCATTAGAAGAATGATAGGGCAGTGATAAAGAGCGCAAGCAAAGTGTTTGGCAGAAACACAGATTTGAAGAAGCTCAAGAAGCTCACAGCTAATATGGAAAAAGATGAATGAGGGCAGGAGAAGATTTGAAGACAAGCTGGACATAGCTGAGGCAACAGGCAAGGTATATGAGTGCTATGGCAGCTTGTGCGGGAATGAAGGCTGCAGTGAGCTGACACTGTGTGTTGCTCCCATGTGTTCTGAAGTAACACATAATTTATAAATGCAATATAAATTTTACTTACAAGACAAGTCTTCACGATAAGCATCTTATTTTCATATGGATTTGGGAGGGCAGCAATAACATAATGTCCCTGCATGAAACCAAGTGATGAAGCCTGTTCAGCCTCACTGGGCACTTAGACCATCAGTTCTTCTGCAGTGCCAGAGGTTTTATAATAAAGAATGAGGCATTGCTTTAAAGTGAGCAATATGGGTGTATATTTCACTGACACAAGTAACTCTGTTTCAGTCTTTTGCAACCTCAAAACTTGGTGAGCTATGACTAGTTTTAGCTGCAGGCACTGAAAAATTATTAGGTTCCTTTGACTAGAAGCAAGTGCAAAAGTAATTTCCAATTCTGTTTTTCGTATATAACAACCCCTCTAAAACCTCCAAGCAACCCAAACAGTTTTGCCAAAAGTTAACGCCCTAGCAGCATTACAACGGTTGATTATACATAATTTTGGAGAAAAGTTTACTGAGTTTATTTCATGGAGATAACCTGGTGATTTTTGGTGCTGTTTTTGTCATCCCTGTTATCAAAGTTTAAAGCCTCAAGGTCTAATTGTTTGCTTACTGAGCTCAAAACTGAGTGCAGACCCGCCTTTGATTTCACTAGAGCAGGCTGATGGCTTAGAGGCCAGACTTTTGCCTGTCATCTTCACAGCTCTTCTGATGTCAGAAGCACTGTGACGGGTTACGACACAGTAAGGCTATGGGCTTAAATGGGTCAAACTGCAAAACAAAAAATGACAAAACTGGTCAATGGTAACAGTTTTCATGCTTGTTTCCAATGGGCATTTTTATACCTTTCTTTATATTTCTTTCATTTGTATTTGCTTGTGATATGATTGTCAATACATCTACATGAAATATTATTCATAAAATATTTATGAAAAAAAGAAAATATTGGGGACACCAAAAAATAAGTCATATTTTGTTTTTGACCAGTGACTGGGCTCCCAGTGTGTATTCACATGGACACGTCCTTGTGTAGAACTGATGCATTGTAACTCTCCAACAGTAAAAACAGCCACTTGCCTGTTAGGAAAAATAGGAGATAACAGAAAAGTATTCCTACAGGGTAATGGTAGAGAGGTACCCAAATCCTTACATAATGGAGCCATGTTTGAACAAGTTATTTTTTCTGATGCTGCATGCAACCTTAGTGAAGTTTGAATATGAGGAAAATTCCCTTTGCTTTAACTTACCTCCTAAAAAACTGTTTTTCAGATTGTCACACAAAATTAATTTACCAGTACAATTCTGTATCCCCTTAAACAGTTAGAAGATGGAAAGAAATGGAGGGGAAAAAAGCCTAAATGAGCCTGTCTCTTCTCCCCAAAGTCACAGAGAAAGGAAGCGCTGTGCTTGACCCATATAACAGAAGAAAGCAGGAGAGTGAAAGATGTGTGTTCAGTGTAGTTACAGACATTATAAAGCAATCACTGCATGATGTTTAAACATTGCTTTATGGTGTTTCCACTGAGATATTCCATTAGTATGTGATGATAATGAATCATGATTATACTCCACTGAGAGCTCTTGCCATGACTGCATACTTTTCTGATTTTTTTTTTTTTCTGCCTGTGGTTTGCACATGGAAACAAGGGAGAGAAATTACTTGAAGAACATAGCCAGAATAGAAGCAACAAAATAGTCGTACTTAGAAGTGGACAAACTTTTCAATGCAGTTTTATTTAATTTTGTCAATATAATTTTATTCAAGTTAGAAGTGCTTTAAATATAGTCTTGTGGGGAATGTGAAAGAATGCCTTTAAAAAAACGTCGCTGGGCAGTGCGTATGTGTTGACTAAAGTGTTTTTTTTAAAAATTCTTTTTTTTCCACTTCTGTAGACGTAGCTTGTCTGCAGCAACTAATTTGAGAAAGACTTTTCTCAGCTAAAGAGGAAGATTGAAACAAGATAAGTGTTTTGTTACTGGTAACGTACTCAACATCTATACAGAATCTCAGTTCAGCTGGCAATGCTTATCCCAGATCTAACTCCTACATGCTCAGATGGTGAGTCTTTAGAGCAGGGAAAAGTGCCATCTGCTTATTCAAAACAATACAAAACTGATAGAATCAGGTTCTTCTAGATGACGAATGGAACTGGTCATCAACCTCAAATAAAATTGCCATATGTGATTCTTGGTCCTGAAGATCCTGAAAACTGACAAAATACTCAACTATCTCCATCATCAGATTTCCATTCTTTTATTATACTGCAGTGAATTTGCATCATATGTTTAGCAGCAGTGTATCATAATTCATACATTTCTTTAATCACAAAAAATGTTAGTGTACATGATGTATGCTAATACAAAAGCTATATACCATACATATGCCAATTATATACATTGTGAAAATTATAAACATATGCATATATATATCCTTTTACATTAGATCTTGAACTCTGATATAGGATTGTGATTTACATGGATACTGTATAGCACATGTGTGTAAAACAGTACCAGTTGTGTCTGATATTTGAAGAAACTAGAGAAACAATAATAAGTCAGAATAATATTTCTAACTATTTTAATAAGTTAAAAAAATAATTGATAACTGATAAGATGATGGGTGCCTTGTACTGCAGACCTCAAGTTTAAGCATAGAAAGACCATGAAAAAGGAAAACGGTAGGCTGTGACTTTGCAGAGAAAAACAAGACATAAAGATGGCACTATTTTATTCAGCAAGTTCAACTCCTTTTCCTGGGTAGAACTGTATCTGATTTATGTTCTAGTTTGTGGTGAGGGTGAATTATTGTCTAAAAGAGTAAGGTAAACTCAATTCTAGCTCACTGCATTTGTTCAAAGGCTCACATCTGTGAACATTTAGTGTGAATATTAATTTTATTTCCATGAGTACTCTGAGTATCCCTTTGGTTTTTTATTGAGCACATTATGCAAAGTTTTCATTTTTATTTTTTCATTAAGACTCCCTTTAAGAGGCTCATCAGAGTGAAACTTAATGCTGTAGGGTCTAGTAAGAATATGCACAAATACTAAAGTGCTGTGTGTAAGAATTCACAAGAATTGCTCTTTTAGTTCAAATACTGAAATATTTGTTGATAATGAGGTAGAAGCTGTAGAACTTTGTTCCTGTTCTTGACAGATTTTCTTTGAAGGCAGTAGGCATTTCAAAAGGCTCAGACAGTATATTCTGTAAACAGATCCTTCAGTTAAAAAAAAAAAAAAAGAAATAGATAATGCAAAAATAGTATTTAGTTAACATTACACCATATCTATTTTTCTAATTTGTAATTTGTATGTTTAAAATGATTTACTGAAGAGTTGTGTTTATATATCACTGTTAATATATTTCTTTTTTACTTGAAAACCATTTTAAAAGTGGAAAAAAAGCATAAAGAAAAAATTTCCCCTACTAAACAATTATGGCTCTGTATGGTATTGTACAGGAAACTTTTGTATAAAATTTCTAATAATCTGCCAAGTATGAGCTCAAGGTGTTTTGTCACGCACTGTGAAGTTATAGCACTTTTTGTACACAGTGCCACAGACAATATCACAAAGCACTATTTCTCAGACAAATCCTGTTTTGTAATAATCTTTAACTTGTGTGTCACATTTTGTATATTCAGATATTGGCTCAACTTTTCCATTAGTTTACATTAATGTCTTGTAATTTAAACCCTGGTGTGAATCTAGCACTACAAATCAATACTGTACTCTGATATTGTGTGTATGACATGGTATAGATAGTTTTATCCATAATAGACAGTATCCCTATTTTAAGGAGAGAAGACAAGATGGTAATTCTTTGTATTGACACACAATCACTAGTTGGGTCAGGGTCAGTTTGCATAGTAGAATGAGCTCCCTCAAATTGCGTCCAGTCACCTTGGTAATGAGAAATGGAATAAATGTTTAATTTATTCATTTCTTTCCACTCAGAAGGTCAAAATGAACTGGTATCTTCATTTATGTGTCTGTAAGTTTTCAAATGAGTTTTACTTTTTGGTTTTCAAGTAATATTTAATTTGAAATATCAAAAGAACAAAATCAAACTCTAGGTGTCTATACAAAGTTAAGAGAATGAATAAAAGATAAATTCAGTTCATTGTAAATTTCAATAACAACGGTCTAATTTTAATGCAGCTTAACTATTTTAGAAGTCAATTGATGGTCAAAGCCAATGTTACTCTAAAGCAGAATGAATGAAAGCAATCATCCTTGTGGTGACTGGGACTGATGATGACCTTTTTCTC